ACCGCGCTCGTGCCCATGAATGATTCTGCTCTCCTTTATTACATTTTATTCATTAGGAGCACATACAGTCAACTCCAACCCATCTCGCAAGGTAAAACGCGTAAAAATCACGAGCGACCCAATTTTCGTGGTGCAAAAGCTCGACGCACTACACTACACTAAAAGATGCACGCTACCGTAACCCTAAACGCCGAGTTTTTGAAAGTTTCTTTTCCTTTTCAAGAGTTTTTCTTCCGTGTTTTTGTTGTTTTTCGTATTCTTTTCTTTGCATTGGATGATATCCACTACTGGGAGATGTGATAAAGGGATTTGTGAGCCAGGGGTTGCACAGAGACCGCAGGGAGGTGTGACTGTCAGGGAGCGATTTTGTTTATGGTGTTCTTGAGGACTCTTCTTGCTTTTTTTCTTCTTTGGGGAATTACTTATCAGCTACTGTTTCATAATTGGAAAGAGGATTTTGTTTATAGTGTTCTTGAGGACTCTTCTTGCTTTTTTTCTTCTTTGGGGAATTACTTATCAGCTACTGTTTCATAATTGAAAGCAACTATCCATGACACTTTTATCGCGGGAGCTGTCTTTAATCAATAATTCGAAAAGTTTTGGAAATGAAGCTCAGGGGACTAACAATACTTCCATGCTTTTACAAATATGCAGTCTAGAATGATTGCTGCTAGAGAAAGAAAAGAAGCAATATTACTCACTTCTTTTGATGCAGAGATGCACACTTCCCCGCTCTCATAAAACTTATAACTCCACCAGGGAATTGTGTGGGGAAAAGTGCTTCGAAGATTTCTCAAGTTAACACCTTGATGAAATCGTTGACATGCTTTATCTCCTATGTGTTAAGCGCATTGATGACGAATATGAAGACGGAGATCAGAGGCCAAGCACGTGCAAGTCGATCTTACCAATTGTGAATACAGGACGCAACATGCTGTTTGGTGGTGGACCAAGTAATACGGAGTCATCTCCTTTGTAAGTTCCCTCTAGCTGCTTTTCCTTGTTTTGAATTCGTTTGTTTGTTCGAAGATTTGTGTTGCTTGAGTAATGAAGGATGCGGATTCTCCGCATTTTTGAAATTCAGTTAATCACTTCTGGTGATTTTGTTCTTTGGAGGGGGGGGCTTTTCACTATAGTTGTAGGGATACAAATGGTTTCGCAAGTATAGGTGGGACAGGTTACTCGTGGTTACTGCGTGCGCTTACGTTACTGGAAAGTGGGAGAATTCGCGAAAAGGCTTATTGATAGATACATATTGATTGATCTCTCATTTTAATTTCCAGGTCACCTCATATAAACCCTTTTATTTAGATTTTTCGTTTTTGTTGAGTTCTGCTGAAACGAAGAAGTTATCACGTAAACTGTTGAGAACATGCTGGGCACATTTGACTTTGACGCGTATTTTTATAAGTCATGCAAGTATTGCCTAAGTTGCACGCTTGTTTTTGTTGCTGCGGCGTGAGGGGTGGATTGGGCAGGATGGCTCTAAGCCGGCGCCGACGCATTCGCCCAGCTGTCGTTGCTAGCGTGGGCCATACCTCTAGAATTAAGTCGATAAACCGAAAGTGGGTAACTACGTGATGCGAACGATGCTACACACACTGTTGTGTCACTTGTTCTACCTTACCTTTAGTTTTACTTTTAGAATTGGGTTATCACACCAGGCTGGTTACCAATCGCCTCTTCTACCCATGGTATTAGGCTCATCTCCTGCTGAACCGACGAAAATGGACGACATATGCCACCAGTTATGTCGTCGTCAACCCGTCATACGGCCCAACAATGGGACCATATAGAGAATCTTGACAGGGTTCGTCGTTTCATCTTCATTTCTGGGTTTTCTGGTTTTGTTCTGTTGTACGAAAAGTATTCAGCTTTCCCGGGAGTGACTCATTTTCGTCTGTTTGATACAAATGTTTCAGTTTTTCACTCTGGTTTACGAATATCATCAAGGTGGCGGATTCTTAACGATAGCCGTGAAAAAGCTTTTCGGTTTGGTGCAGTTTGTTTTTGTCGTGGTGAGTTGTGGAAGTTTCTACTAATACTGTCTTGACCGAGTTTTTTTTCATGGCTTGTGAGACTTACTTGATTGCGGCATGTTAATATCCGCTAATTTCAGATGTTCTCGACGTTTTTTATGCAGTGTGTCGACTATGAAGTTCTCTTCGCCAATAAAAATATGACTACTACAGGTGAAAAAATTACGGGAAAGCGGAGCTTTGATGTGAGTTACTTTCGTTTCAGTCGTCAGAGTTTTGACCAATTTCTGGTATTGCATTGCATTGTGGTATAAAGTAAAGCCTCCACAACCGCAAGGGGCGCGCTGTGGTCTGAAGGGGCCAAGGGCAACTAGGTTTGCTACTTTGCACCCTCTCCCTTCTCCTCGGATGAGTTGACCCAGTGATCCTCACCGCTCGTTGCCTTCAATTTGGGAAGGGCGCAAACGACCAAACGCTGGGCAGCAGCTACTTGAGGAGCAGGAGTATAAGTCGCTGATTTGGTATCGTGACATGCATGGCAAAGGTTGCAAACTCAGCCTTTGTCCTGGGACCCAGTCGATTCATAGTGGCAGTGCTGCGATTCGGCGAGGCAACTGTCTAGCAAGTACCGTGATGGTTTGCGCGCATTGCTGCTACTCGGGACGACCGAGAAGCGTATTTAGTTGCCCTGACATGCACCTCCCCCCCCCTAACTACAGTAGGGCCTAGCAAAGGGTTCTGATAGCTGTTCGACCAAATTCTTCATTATGACTCTCCATCGAATTCTGTTATAATCCTTTGGAAATGAGGGATAAAAAGGGCTCCTACCAGAGGGCTGTAAAGCAGGAAAAATAGCGAATTCTGTTGTAGCTAAACCTTGAGCGTTCCCTGATTATTTTCTTTTGAAATCGCTTGGATTTCGATTGCCCCTTAATGTTTTTTCACTTCACTTTTTACTTCGCGTTCTGGTCGCTCTGGCCTTTAACCAAAACCACCGAATCACGAAATTTGTACCCTTTTTCACACAGTGTATTACGATACATTACGTTTTTACAGGATGCTATTGTTGCAAATTGCGCTAGTCACTTGCATCCGCTAGTTGTCTTCTCAATACTTGTGGCTACTGTATTTTGGATTTTACGTGTAGTGAAAACGACATACTATCTTGAACTATGCTACTAATTATAGGAGGGAGTTGATACCCTAAGTTGGCTTCACCAGATCAAATTGTGGTTTAGTCAAATTTACGGTCTCAGTTCGCCTTTATCCGCTTCTGTAATTACCACGCGCCCTAATTAGTGGCGTCCGTAATTACAGAAGTCTTTTGAGCCCTCCGGCGCCTTTTTACTCGCGAGTGGCTACAGTTGCTTTGGCAACCCCTCGAATTACTTTCGTTTTTGCCATCTTTCAGTTTCTAAACGCGGCACGCCTCCACATTCAGATCGCAAGCTGCTTGTCTATAACTCTGCTTTGCTTATCAAAGATGCTCAACTATCTAATCTCTCAAATGGCATGATGTTGTACAACGAATTTGTGAGGTAAGGCTCGAAACTGCTCATAAATGTTGTTTTTGTACTTCTACTGGCGTGATTCCGCTTGTGGGAGGGGGCACATTTTTAAATCGCGTCAGCATCCGCAGGAGTTGACAGGATTATTTTTCTCACTTCTGTCAACTCCTGTTAGCGTTACACTTAGCTGTGCGACTCTGGCTACGATCGAAATTTCTTTTTTACGCCACAAGTGACATACAGTAGAATCGTTGGACAATCGAGCTGATTATCGGGCCTAAATGCTGCTTAGTTCGTTGTCTGTCGACCCAGTGCGGGAGCCGCAGGGGCGCCGGGGGTGGACTCAGAATGAAGCGACGGAACATTTGCTCTTTGTGAGGCAATAGTGTATGAAAATGAGCAAAAGGAATCAGAAAAAAATATGGGGTGGAAAGAAGAAACGATTTTTATAGCGGGGTAGGTGGACCACTGCTTACGAAACGCGAAAGCCACTGTTTGCATAGTACAGGCGGAGGTGGTTTAGTAGCAGGTGGCACACTTTCCACGCGTATGGTTTCGAGAACAAATCCCTTATCGGCTACCGCCAAGGCCAACGGAGCCTCCTCTACTGGGTACATTGGTGCCGCATCCGTCAGAGAAAATGAAACCCTGACTTGTCCGGGGGCTGGCCCCGCAACTATGTAACCCGCATCGCTTTCAATAAGCCACTACGATTCTGAATGGAAGTACAACGCGTACCGCATCCCAAAAGGAATCCTTCAACGACGGAGACTTTATCTTTTTATACGTGGAAGTCATGACATTTCGTAGCTGCTGAGGAGTTTCCAAGACCTTGCAACGTCTCAGCACGTTGACGGAAGCTTTCGAAATGCTCCCCCCCCTCCCTCATAGGGATTGGCGCCTAATTATTGCTGTCAGTTTACTGCTGGTGTTTACAATTTCTTCTAATTCGTCTGTGCCGATCTTTGAGTAGCAGGATATTTTCTGAAAAGCTTTACATTTCAGGTGCAGAAGCATCTTCATTTGAAAGTGGACCGTGATAATATAACTCCATTTGACTTGTATAATCGCATACTGAGATTTAAAAATTATCTTGTCGCTCTAGTCAATACGGTGAGAGAGTTTTCCTTAAACTCATCATGCACATTCTGTTTCCCGTTAAGGAGAAACTTCTTGAGACGTAGTAAAACTGTGGTCTTTTTTTTCAGCGAGTACTTCCACCGGTTTTCCATGTGCCTTTTCGTTGGTCCCGTGCCCTATTTACCAAATGGACTAAAATCAAATCTGCGACGGATTCTTTTCTTCGGGTATTGTTTGTTTCGTTAATCCCCTTGAATTAGGTACAGTCTTGTTCACTGCGGATGATGTTGGGTGTCAGGTGATGGAGTTGGCGCGGCGCCAGCCCGGTTCATTTGTCTTCTTTCGGCGAAGGACGAGGATGTATCATATTGTTTTTCCACTGGTTGTTTTCGCTTGACCGCTCCAACAACGAGTGAAGAGAGGGTTTGGCGCCGCGCCATAAGCATGCCCAACTGAAGCACGGTAAGATAGTCCGTAGTTTGAAAGAAGAAATGGCAGCGAATAAAATAAAAAACTCACTTCAGGTCTACGTCCCCGTGGGCTGGACCGTATTTGAAAGATGAATACAAAGATCTGGATAACCTTGAGTTGTTGACAAGACAAATGGAGAAAGATGTGAGTGTATATTAACCATCCTTTGTTTTTTTTTTACTTCAATTGGCTTTATTTGTAATGCTGTTTCTACATACTACTTTTCTACGAATTTCTACTACCTTTGCCCAAAATTGGTGATTTTCTGTTCAATTCAAGCACCTTTCAAATCATGTTGGGCACTATCCAAACAAATTGGACACATTTTAAACCACGGTTTTTTCGCATGGGATGGAGGAGGAGGAGAAGGAACTTTTGTGAAGTTCTGCAAGGGCCTACAGAATCTGTTTTATTCTGTATATTGAGGTCACATGGCGTAGCTTATTCGAATTGGGGACAACTCCTCTAACGCTAAAGTACCCCACGATGGATTAGAAATGACCAGAGCAGTTCATTGATGTTATTCACTTCTAATTGTTGAATATGAAGTGTTGCATATATCGTAGCGTATTGATAGAAAACTTGTTCTTAGCAGGGTGAATTGGTTTCACCCGTATGCGCTGAGCTCTTTCCCAGTGCTCTTGGCCTGATGCACGAATTTCAATCATGCTGGCCGCAAATGCGTTTTCTTGGCATTTTATAGCACTGGAGGCAGTTCGAAATGAGAACAAATCAAAAAAAAAACGCGGAAATGAAGCTCATACGGAAATATTTCATTTGCAATCAAATCACGTGCATAGTCGACTTAAACAAATGAAACTGTCCCATTATGTGAAACTAGCACCTCATAGTACGGCTTGCTGAGATACGCTTCCCTGAAGCGTTTAGCAGGCTGATTTGAAAATTGTCCCACGACTTGCTAGAAAAGGTATGGTTGGGGGCTATTTCGATGATATCGCACTATTGGCCAGGTCGCCATGTAATGGACTTTTGAATTTGATATTCTTCCCGCGTTGGTATTTTTGTATCAAATTCTGTACGCATTCTTCACATTATCTGAACTAATAAAACGTCGTCGTGATGCTTTGGGGATGCGTCGGTATTCGAACTATGGCAGGTCGGAATACTTTTTTGTAGTAGCTTCAGCTGAACAGCTTTTCTGTGGGGTTTTTATGTTGCTTCATTACAGATATCGTATGAGGCACTTCAATGAGCTTAATCATGAGCTGACGGCACGTCTTAATCGATCACATGTTCATGCTAATGCTTATTTGAACCAGTTTACCTCGGCATTGACCGAGATATTCGCAAAGAATGTTGCATTAGTATTGGCTGGAGCCATTGGCTGGAGTTGTTGGCTATGCTTGTCGCTTGGCGAGGACGTTTTTTACAGGTGAGGCGTCTACGATGGTTTGTCATTTGAAATTTTTGTGTTTGGCGCCCGCCCCCTTTGATGTGGATCGTGTACGGTGTTCTGGCTAGCTTTAAAGGGCTATAGAAGAGAAAAGGAAAGAACGGGGGGGGTATTGATTTGTGGGAGTAACGAAGGGCGGTATTGAGAGAACTTTAGCGACCGGAGCGTTTTGGGGAAACGCCAGCATTGTGAGCGAAAATGAACGTATAGGTATCGATATAGCACCATGGGCGTTCTGAACAAAATGCCGAGAACGCTGGCGTTTTCTCCAATACCCTAGATCAATGCCCATTCTTTCCTTTGCACCCAGAAGGCGCGAAAAGCCTACCAAAACTATGAAAGCAGCCTAAATGTAGGTGGTCGCAAATGCTGCCAATTGTCTCACCTGCCCGTAACTTCATATGCTCAACAGCTTATGTGTTTTCGAATAGATACTAGTATCCGGAGTCGGTTATTCTTTGGGAAGACCTGATGTTAAACTATTGACGCAGTAAAACTTGATCGTTGCGTAATCGTAGAGATGACCGCCGACGATAAGACAGTAAACCGGTCCTGTGTTGCAAGAGTTTTCCACCATGGCTCCTCTAGCTTGAAGGAAATGAAATTCAAGTGAAATAAGTTATTCTATGAGTTTATCCGGAGTTTTTTTTCGTCTTTTAGGTGGAACATGTTCTGACTGTGATCTCAGTTTGTGGTATCGTCATGGTAGTATGCCATGGCATAATGTCAGATGAGAATCTCGTTTGGCAACCGGAAGCGCTAATGACGCATATAGCAAGCGAACTACACTACGTGCCAACGGAATGGAAGGGACAGGTACTGGGGCTTGATATTTTGAATCATCTCGAAAAAAAACTATTACGAAATTCAAGTGGGAGATTTACGGATTGCCCTTCACTCAACTCGTGTGATGTTCTGTAGAACAAAACCTTTCCTATTTCTCTCCGAAAAGTGATTTCACACCCTCAAAGCTTGACTCCAGCTTGATTCGAGGTTGCAAATAGATAATAGTTCCCAATAGACCAAGACACTTTGCTGAAGACAGGTACGTCGTTAAGCCCAAACAACCCAATCCTGCAAAGGTTTTAGAAAAATGTGCACCTGGCGATTAACCCCTGCATAATGGCATCGTCTCTGTCTTAGGCAGCGTTGATTTGGCGATGACGCACGTCGACGGCTACCACTTCAGCGGCGCTTCAGTGATTGAGACGGGGGGACGTAGCCGTAGATGGGTATCGATCGGCGCTGGAAACTTGTGTTTTGAGATAGTATAGAAGAACAGGAAGGGTAGCAGAGTGTGTGAAGGCAGCACCTATCCTCCTGTGCTCTCTCTCTCTCTCAAAACATAAGCGACCGGCGCCAATCGATACCTGTTTGCGGCTGCGTTCCCATCCATACTACTGGAGCGCCACTGCAGTGTTAGCATGCTATGGTTCACAGTCTGCGGCCCAGCGTTCCTATAGAAAGAAACGTTTCGGCGAAAAGCTTTCGATACGTATCGACTGGCGGTTGGCGAAGAGTATGGCGGTTGGGCGAAAGGGTTTTGATACGAATCGACGGGCGTTCGACGTTTTTCGCCTTCGACGAAACGCTAGCTCGATCGCCCTGGCGTTTTTCGCCAGCGAAATCGATACGCATCTATTGCTTTTCGCCCAACCGCCGAACCGCGGCGGTTCGGCGAAACTAGCGGTTGGCGATTCTCCGATCAATC